TGAAGACATTTGTGATTCAATAGTACAAAATGTTCTTAAAAAAAGAAAGTTTGAAGAAAAAGAAGAAGACGACGACGACGAAGAAGAAGAAGACGATACTGATCCACCAGTTACAACTAGAGGGGCTAAAAAATGCATTGATTTGTTGCATAAAGAACTTCATGCAAGAGGGTAACGAAGGTAGTCCATCTGATAAGCTTGAAGCGTGCGCCCATTTTGTAGACCAGATCCACACAAAACAGCTTAGACAACGAGCAATTACAACGTTTTGTATACCTTATACACCCAAAAAGTAATTTTATTTAGTATGATGTATGTATGTATTAAGTTTTTAAAAATAATGTACTTTATATTTAATTTAATTAATATACGTGGTAATTTAACATTTTTTTCAATTGTATGATTAACGAGTGTAAAATAATTTTTTTTTTGATATCATTAAAATTTTTTTAACTAATTTCGGTTTTTATGGGCAACCACTTAATGTGGGCAAACAATTCTGGTCCCAACATGCCCATATTAAGCGGAATCCACTGTATATAATTTTATATTATATTTTTGAATCTAAGAATTATTAATCTGGATATAATTAAGGAAATAGTTGATGTTGCTTTTGTAATTATCCACCAATTTCTTAGAATTAAACATTATATACAGATTTGCATCGAAGCGTTTCTTATGATAGTGATTTTTTTATTTAATTTAATTCGTTTATCAGATGTATAACTTTAACGCTCATATTTTTGAAGTTAAAATACATGTTTAACATGAGTAAATGTTATTTTGCTTTCAATTATAACCACATGTCATTTTCCTAAAAATAATAACATTTTTAAAGCTATAATAACTTTCAATACCATATTTTGTTTTCTAAGGTTAAATTTTTACAGACTACTGATGCTAACTCCTGTTAAAAAAAAAAAGAGAATATTTAAGGCAAGGCTAGAGTAGATGATATGCGTAATGTCAAGTTCTGTGTGAAATATTTAATTAAAACAAATACAACAACAACAATAAGCAATTTGTAACACAAGTTTTATACACATTAACATAAATTATATTAATAAATACATACATAAATTTGTACACCAAAAAAAGGCACAAAATATTAATAAATAGGAAGATGATTCGATAGTGCTGTGCGCTTTGAGGATCCTGACAACATCTGTATGTGGCCTGGATATGTAACTGAACTGGTCGCTCGTTCAGCCGTTATTTATCATATAATGATTATAAGTTTATTTCACCCCTCCTGTTTTAATCAACAGTACCCAAATTCCAATTAAGGCCAAAACAAAATACCACTATATACAATATACAAAATGTCACTTAAACCAATTTGGTCGTATGGGATAGAACTCTGGGGCTCAGGTAAAATTTCCAATACAATCAGAATCCATGTCTTCCAATCACAAGTCCTACGCACAATTTTTGCCGCACCTCCTTATGTTTCTAACGAAACACTCCACAAAGACACCTCCTTCCCTACTGTAGTCGAAGTAGCCAAAATCCACTACAAAAGGTTTCGAAAGAGACTCCAGGGATATCCCAATCCTTTAATCGCCGATTTGGCCTCCAATAATCTTCCTGAACACCCTCCGCGTCGCTTAAAAAAAAAATGGTGTAGAGACCTGCTAACATAGATTAACTGCACTTTTCCAGTCATTGGAGTTCTATCACTGGAGGGTTTTTCCAACCATGTTTAACTGTGAATATAATATGAAAATACTTATAATGTTTAATCTTCCTACATGTCCAGGATTATAAATTATGATTTATTTATTATTAGGAATCATAAATTACAGGATATTATATTATTAGTCTATTAAATCATTCACAAAAATCAAGCAAGTCACATAAATTGGTTTGGTAAATAATATGTGTAGTTTCTTAGACAAGACAATCAATGGTTAATAAGAATGCTTAATAGTTCAATAATATTTAATATTATATGATAATAATAATAATAGTGAAAAATTATAATATTAATGAGGAAGTATGTTAAATAGTACTAAAAATTCCATAGTTATTAAGAATTTTTTTTTTTTTGAGTTACTGAATTAGTTTAACTGTTAAACAATGATATTATTTTATTATCATTATATTACATATTTTATTATTAATATTGTTATCGAGATTTTGATTTTACATTCTGAGTATTAAAGTTAACTATACTCAGACAGCATTCAGTTTATTTTTATTTTGATATAATTTTTTAGATTTCAGTTTCAAATATTTTTGATTATCAAGTATGTTCTGAATGTATTCTTTTCTGTAGCCTGAGAAATAAAAGAGGTATTGATTTTATAATATTCCAGAGGAGAATATTACAACATAGTATAACAAATGATACAACTGTCGTTTATCGTATAACCAGTTTAAGGTGTTTGAATACTCTTGGTGAAATTATATATAGAAATACTTATATTTTTAATATTTTTTTTTCTGCTATTTTCTTATATTTTGAATGATAACATAAAAATAATAAAATAAAAATTGTCACATCGAGCAATCGTGCTAATCCGTATTAAAGGGAACTATATTAAATTAATCTAATCGTTAAATTAAAAACTAAATAAGTTATTTAAAATGTGTCTTTTAAAAATAGTGATATTAACTTGTTTGTTAAGATGCAACTATTATTGTGTTATACTACATCATCAAAATGATTAAATTTTTTAAATATAATAATTCAATCACACAAATAGTAATTATATATCCCCTAGGTTTGTAATGTACAGAATAATTCACATATGTCATTGTGAATTACGATAATTATGATAATTTTCAAAGTTCTCTCAATTTATTAATCATGCAGTATTTTTTATCATAATCAATTATCATATTCATATATTAAACTAAATAAAAAGTAATAATAACTAAAAAAATAAGACAGTTTGAATTTGGTGAACTGAAATTAAACAGTAAAAAATGTATGTAAACACTCATTACGAATAATTAAATTTAATATAAAAACACTTGTATAACTATATTTAAGATTGTCTTGTAAGATTTAGATATTGAAATGACAAATTGTTACATTATACTACACAAAAATAACTTTTTACCATTATTTGAAAAAAAAAAAAATTATACGATTTCTGTAAAATATGATTTATTCAAAAAACCAAAAATATCATTCCACGTATATAGTTCTTTATTTATCGTATTCACTATAAAAAAACCCAGCACAAGGGGGTCGCGGCACAGTGGTGACGTGGCAAAAATGGATCAAGTATAATGATATCTGACAGTGATTAAAATCACTATCAAAAATAAACGCTTCGATGCAAATCTTTAGATAGTGTTTAATTTTTAAAAATGTGTGTATTATTCCAAAAGCTACATGATCTTCTAGTTCATTATTAATATCTTAATTAAGATAAAGTATGTCGAATAAAAAAGGGATTATTAAAAAATATTATTTCTCATTAAAAAATAATGTTGATCCATACACTTTTCAATATGTCATAGCATTATAAAGTTAAAAATGTAAAAAATAAAATCGAAAATTTTCACACAAAAATAGCATTTGGTAGCCATTTTCACCGTGAAGATAAAATAAAGTCCGAAATTTTTTTTTTGCATAATAAATAACATTGCATTAGCTTTAATTTAAGATATATATAAAAGTGTCAGACCTTCCGGAACATTTTCAAAAAATAAGTNAAAAAAAAAACACATCTTAGTAAAACCAATACCTTCTCAGCTTCGCATCGAAGCTAAAATAAAATGAATTATAAAATAATTAATTTAATGAACAAAAAATTTTCAATTCTGTCTCTAGATATTGCAAAGCTTTTAGCAAAAAAATGTTTGCGTCATCATCTACACTCACATCAACCGTACTCATATTGCATTCAATAAAATCCTTTAACCTCTTCCAATAATATTCGTTAATTATTGTAATTTAATTAAAATTTCAAAATTTGGCCAATTATATCAAACAGGATATAGAAATTGTAGTATTTTAAGTGTAGAACATGGTTATTTAAATTTCAATTTCTTATACTAAAATAAATTACATAATTAACAAAAAAAAATTAATTGTACGGTAAGTGGCAATAACGTGCTTGTAGCAATTCATGAAATTTGTATAGCCTGATGTTCCATAAAAAAACAAAGTAATATGAAAAAATGATATGTAATACATTTTTGGATTTATTTTTATTTCAAAATCAGAAAAAAAATATTTACAAATCGCTATTATTTTCACTATTAATATTTAATGATTTCACAATTTTATATTTTTCTGAATCTGTAATATTATTGTCAAAAAATGAAATTAACTAGCGTGTCAATCAGTTACCAAATATGATCGGGAAATGCTTAAAAGCCTACATCGCTAATAAAGCATTAATGTTTAAAATTTTAAAATTAACAAAATTGATCTGCGTGATGTAATTTGTATAATGAAACAATAACATTAATCAAATAAATGTATGTATAAAAATTGTACATGTATTATCTTTTTAGTAAAACAAAAATTATAAGGCAGATAATAAACCAAAATAAGGTATAAATATTAGTAACAAAAAAAAAACACGTAAGTAAAACAATGATCAACTTTAAAACAAATTTTTCAAAAATTAACCAGTTTCTTAGATCTACTTTAGATTGACCAAAAATTATCCTATGATTAATCGTTTTTTATTAATCACGTAATTAAAATTAATCTAAGGAAGATAAACAGATCCAGAAATTCCAAAATTATGGTTTAAAAGTTGTTAACAAACGGTTATTTTGTTACCAAGGTCAGTTTTATTAATATATTATTTATTCTAATTTTTAATCAGGTTAAACATAATAATTCTATAATAATTATTATTTCTAAATTTTATAATTATCTATTATAAAATTTTAAGGAATACGGGGAATAGAACACAACTTTTTTCTAAAAATTATAGAACATAGGATATTATTAACATCTGAAAAGAAAAAATACTATATGAAATTAAATTTCATATGTTATATTTGAATAGTCACTGTATATACTTTAATATTGTAGGGAATAAATAATTCAATTTTAATTGTTTACTTATTGAATTTTATTTAATAAGAAGTTTTTATAAAGACAATTTTTTTTGTTACGATATTTATTCTAAGAAAATTGTGGAAGAATAGCATTAAAAAAAAAGAGCAAAAAGAAAAATGGTTTGTAAATTGTAATGTTTTAATAAGTCATTGTAGTTGTAATTAATCTTTCAATATTTTTCAGAATTATCCAGTCTTGTTGAGTTTGTGTTTGTTTATTTTTGCTGGTAATAAATATTTTTATCAAAATAGACGAAGTAATACTTTAAGTTTTTCTTTGTGAAGATAAAAAATACATGTACTTTTTGAAGCAATAAAAATACGGTTTCAGATTTTGTAACATTTTTGAAAGAATTTTACCTTGTCTCTTAAACGCGATTATTATAAATTTATAATTTAGTTATAACTAAATCATTAATTTAATATTATATTTTTGATTATTGAAATGTTTAATTTATCTTTTACAAACCAAAGTTATACGCACTGATATAGTTTTAGAAAATTGAATAAGATTTTCTTAATTTAGAGTATAAAATTTTAGCTTCATAGGAGTTAATATCTATCCACTTAAAATACGATCGAATAATTCGGTTTAATACGCTAAAAATATTTTAAAATATGAATTTATTAGCATTTATTTCATAAAACTATTACATTTTTCAATGATTAATATTCATGTTTCTTAAAGTGAAACAATTAGGGACCGCGTGAGCCAGCGGTGTTTATCGTAGATATTTCAGTAAAAATTTTTGCTCTGTAGACATGTGTCCAGGTGTTGTACATAGTCACAACTTTATTATAGTTTTTATATTACAATTTATTTTTATATTGTATGTTGTGTATTACACAACATACAATATGAAATATATGATATAATAAATAATGGTCTTATTAAATCTATTATTGAACGATACGATAATATAAATGATAATATTTTATATATATATATATATTTATGTATTTTGAAAGCATATGGTATCCCAGTCAATGATCAAAATGAAGAACGTAAGTTAAAACTTAATTAACTCCTTATTTCAATAAAAGATTCAAGTGTTATATTCGGTTACATTAATTAAGAACTTATTAAATCTCATCCCGTCGATCATTTGCTTAACCCCATATTTGACTCTTTAACATGTGAAAACTACCCTCTCTAGAATGTTAAATTCGGGAAATAAAAATATGTAATTTTGATCATCATTATTTGTATAATAACGACCCTAGTTGTGTCCTAGGCTTTTTTACATATCGTGTTTAAAAGTATTAACGGCTGATGATGTTTTAGCACAATTACTCTCCACCCATCACTAACTTTTTGTATTATTTTACTTGTGTATATGAAGTGAACAAGATACAAATACACAAATGTCATAGAGTGTACCCTACAGGAAAAAAAATATATTTATATACAGGGTGTTCAGTAAGTAAGGAAACATATCAATTGTTATAAACTATGAGAACAATAGAAATTCGTTTCCTAACTGAACACTTTATATATAACTTATAGGAGCGTCAACTGTATTTTTTCAAATAGCAACATAAATAACTTACTATATTATTTAATAATAATTAATTAATTCATAAAATGACTAGGTTGTGTTATAATTTAAAAATATAAGCAAAAGTTAATAAAATACAAATAATAAATAAATGATGATGGGGACATGGGCTTTTGTATATAATGAGAACCTGATGTTGTGGTTCTATCGGGGTCGTATGGTTCGAGGGCTTAGAACGACAAAGACAAGTAGATATAAAAATATATGTTAAGTTCCTCTTATAGAGGTATAATAAACTATTGTCTGGTTAGTTTCTAATGTCTTAACTAAGAGGCAACGAAACGGCAGAGCCAGTCCACGAATACCAGACCCTAACTTATACATTAGAAATCACGCTAGGTCTTTTTTAAAACTTCTTTAAGGCAACGAAACGGCAAAGCCAGTTCACGAACACCATATAATGTGATTATGTATAATTTCTTTAACCAACCAGTCAAAAGTGATACTTTAAGATATTAATTTAATAAATGATCTATTGCTTTGTCATCCTTTACTCAAACTTATTAACTCCAAATAATTGGGATAACATAAAATTACTTACTTCTTTTATTCTTGCAGATTGCTGTAAAATTATTTGATAAATATCTCGATATGTTTATATATGTTTAAAAGTATTTAATTCGCACTTAATCAAAAGATAAATAATTAAAACAAGTTTTAACACAACAACACAGGGCTGTGACTGATAATTGTTTCTTTTTATTCTTATTTCAATTCAGAGAAAGCGAACTCTCTCTCTCCTTCACTCCTCGGAGTCTGAAAATATTTCAGTGCTTTTTATAGTAAAATGATAGTACCCCCAATCCAGGGATATTGTTGTCAGCGCTTTTAGTGATCTTTTTAGTTTATTGTATTTAATTATATATTACATGATTATTATATTGAGATAGCATATTTAACAATCGATAAATTGACATATATATATATAAATAATAAGAAATTGTGTTGAACATTGTATTTGTTATGACAGATAAATTATTTGTTTGTTTACAAATTATTTAAAATACAGATTATACATTAATAATTANAATTATTTAAAATACAGATTACACATTAATAATTGTAAGATGCGTAATGCAAAGCATTGATCATATTACGACAGTTGATAATATATTTTAGAATAATATTTCAGAAGCTATTAACAAATTAAAATTCTGACTGTTGGTGAGGTGTAGGTGCAGCTATTTTTAGTATCAGTCATTTCTCGGCGTATTCTCCCATTTGGCAAAGATTAAAAATGAGAATAATATCCGTAGTACTGATCCAAAAGGTTTTATCTTCTAGTCATTGTCGTATTTCATTATTATCTATTAAAGAAACTAATAAATTATGTACGTTGCCATTTGAAAAATATAAAGTTGACATCTCTATAAGTTATAATGCATGATTTTAAAAATTAATTTATAGCTAATAAATAAAAAAATATATGTAACTATAAAATAAAAATCGTTTCTATAATTATATTTACTATAGGAATAATAGAATGGTTATTAATAGAAATAAACCCATGATTCGGTATATATTATTTTTTATGTTTTGTAAGCAGATGGTATCCCGGCCGATAACCAAAACGAAAAACGTAAGTTAAAAATAAATCATTAATTTCAAATTATATTTTTGACTATTGAAAATGGTTGATATTGAGAATAGAAGATCTGTATTGATATTTAATAAGCAGGGATGGTGCGGCGTAGGCCTCTTGTTGTTAATCACTAAACTAGATATTATAATGATAATTACTGCACACCTATTTGAAGATGAAATGTAAATGTTATATCGTAAAAATACAGTTCACGTTATTAACTAAAATAGAGTGTTTTTAGTTTGATATAAAATATCGTAAGCTACAGCCAGAAATGTTGAATTTTTAACCCGCTTATATTAGTTTCACATGTTTGTTGTGGGTTGTGTGTTTGTAACTTTCCACGCGGCACGTGTTATTATTCTCGCGTACAACGTTACAACCATTTTATTGATAGTAACTACTATCATAACATGAAACTAAAAAGTGAAAAATAAATATATTAAAAAAAAAACTAAAAAAAAAGTTAAAATAATTTTTAGTTCAATGTGCTTCAAAAGCATGTTTCTTTAGTTTTTTAAACTATTTTTTCTTTTACGAACAAACATTATACGCACTGATTTGATTTTAGAATAGTTTGGCTTTATACGTTAAAAGTATTTGGAAACATGAATTTCATAGCAATTATTTCATAAAACTAATATATTTTTCAATGAATAATATTCATGTTTTTTAGAGTAAAGTAATTAACGATCACGTGAGTCAGCGGTTTACATCATAAACATTTCAGTAAAATTTGTCTCATTTTTCTTGGTGTGGTGTACAGGTGAGGTAGAAAAATTATTGCCGCGCGATAAGACATGTCTTCGGGTACCTTATACAGTTATAAATTTGGTAACATATTTATATAATGGTTTATTTTGATATTTTTTATCGTTGTAATACACAACATCAATACGGAATGTATGATATAATAAATACTAGTCTTATTAAATATATTATTGAACGATAGGATAATATAAATGATAATATTTTATATATATTTTTATTTATTTATTTTGATAGTATGTGATATACAAGAAGATGTCCCAAATGAAGAAAGTAAGTTAAAACTCAATAAAGAATCCAAGTGTTGTTTTTGGTTATATTAATTAAGAACTTAATCAATCTGATGATGTAAAGAATCAATTATTGAATAACATAATAATAAGATAAAGTAAAAAAATATATTTTTTTATTACATACTTCCACAACAATATCCATTAGTAGAAAGTAAATCTACATAAGAAATAAAAAAATTTTGTGTAATTTTATTTTTAAAATTGAACAAATCTTTAAATAATTAATAGAGGGGATTCTTTTTTAGTGTCTCTTACAGTTCAGGTTTCGTCATTGCAAATATGAAATATTATTAAAATACATTTTTCAAATGGAAAAATAAATAATTATAAGTTAATATAAAAATATATTTATTTATTTTTATCTGTGATATCATATCATATTCTAGGCGATAATCAAAACGAAGAATGTAAGTTAAAACTAAATCGAGTTTTTAATTCAATAAAAAAGAATATAGAATTTTATAAGGATAGTTAATATAAATTAAATAAAAATATCTTTCTGTTAAGATTCTTCTTGAATAACACTTAATATATTTCACATATTTCCTGTCATCTGACTAACAATTCTTAATCCTCGATAGTTGCTGCAACTTACGAAAATGTGATAGAATGAACTTTTTTTTTCAACGATAGTATTCAGTTACGAGATTCCGGTAAAATTATGTTGAATTTTAAATATTCGAACAAAAGTTATACGCACTGATATGTTTTTAGAAAGAGAAATGTAATTTTCGTAAATATAAATAGAACAGTTTGATTTTATACTTTAAAAATATTTAGAAATGTGAATTTCATAGTATTTTTTTCATAAAACTTACATTTTTCAATGATATCGTAGATATTTCAGTAAAAATTTTTGCTCTGTAGACATGTGTCCAGGTGTTGTACATAGTCACAACTTTAGTATATTTTTTATATTACAATTTATTTTTATATGTTGTGGTGTTGTAACACACAACATACAATATGAAATATATGATATAATAAATAATGGTCTTATTAAATCTATTATTGAACGATACGATAATATAAATGATAATATTATATATATATATATATATTTATGTATTTTGAAAGCATATGGTATCCCAGTCAATGATCAAAATGAAGAACGTAAGTTAAAACTTAATTAACTCCTTATTTCAATAAAAGATTCAAGTGTTATATTCGGTTACATTAATTATTCAAGGTATTCAAGGCGATGATAAAAATGCAAATGGTAAGTTAAAACTTAATTAACTTTTTATTGCATTAAAAATTAATTAGGAGTTTAATGAAAATTTGTTTTAAAGAATCCAAGTAAATTTTTTGTCCGATTGAGGCATTGTGTAATTGAGTCATTGTTTTCAAAACGATTTTTTCTACTTTGTATTTGGTATAGAAAAATTTGTTATTGTTTCAAATAATTTATTTAATTTTTCGCTTTTAGAGACATGTTCTGTCTGTTTAGCAAATATTCCAGATACACGTATAGGAATTTGTCCACATAAATTTTGCAAAGGTTGTATAGATAATTGGAAAATCGATAAGAGAATCTACCGTTGTCCTTTATGCAATGAAGAATACGATAACCCTGACTATCAAGAAGGTATATTAATAGTATATATTAATAGTATAGTATATATAATATTTAAAAATATAAAGATAAATTTTGAAATAATTTATTTTTAACTTAAGAATAGCAAATTAATTTTAAGTATTATTTATAGTTAATTATTTTTGTTAAAATAATATTATTAGATTTTCTGAATTTTTGAGTTAAAATACATAAGTCATAATATATAAATAACGGTTTATAATTTATTTTATACGAAACATATGCTTTTGGAATTGGTATTTGAATAAATATGAACTCACAGCATTATGTCCATGACCGTATTTAGGGAGGCATTGGGTGAGAATACTTTGGATGGCAGTGCTTATACTTTAACTTTATATTTAATTAATTTTGACAAATAACTATAATTTTTTTACTTCAATGTGACTAATTACCTGACGGATATAGGTGATTATCCCATTAAAAGATCAACACTTTTCTGTTCACAAATAAGAATTTAATACTTTTAGTTTTGATTAAAAAGTAATATTATTACATTTACTAGTAAATGTATAATAGAAATTGATCATTTGTAGATAATTAATTAAATAAAATTAAAACTACATTAAAAATATTATTAATTTAAAAACTAAAAAATATTAAAAATTATAACTCAAAAGTCACAAAAAATTACTGAAAAGTCGCGGATACGTATTTCGGAAACAGTGTTTCCATTAACAACGCTAAACACATAATGACTATATATACTGGTAAATGATATAAAAATGTTTTATTTATTAACGATTTTTCAATAATTGTCAAAATTACACTGACTGTGTATTAAAGTTTTAAACTCTAGAGATATAAATCTGTATTTATAGATGTCAGAATTTTCAAAGCATTTTTAAATTAAAAAAAAAAAAGTGTTATTAATGTGCATTAATTTTTATTAAGCATGTATATCATGAGTTATTAAATAGAAATATGTTTATGTATTTAAAATATTCTACATATAATGTATATTTTTTTAGCAAGTAACTTGCCCTCAGATGATACAAGTAATAATAAATATTAATTAGATTTAGTTATTTATAAACTAAACAATTAAGATAAATCTAGTTAATATATCCATTGTAAATTAATAGAAATATTTTTGCCCTGATTATGATTTAAAACTACTTGTGTATAGCGATGTAAAAAATAGAATTAATATACATAGGATATATTTGAACAATACTAATTCAAGGTTTATACTTTTATTTAGATGTCGATATGACTCCTCAAGTAACACGTAAGTGCTTAACTAAAGAACTATAAATTGTACATTAAATGACTTTTTACCAGTTTCTAAGGACAAAATGAGAATTTTATTATATAAAAATATATATTGTTACATGTCATTTATGATGTACCAATACGTCTTAAATGCATCTTATGGTCAATTGAACATCTTTGAAGTTATATCTACTGAATAATATTAATAAAAAATAATAAAAATTTTAAATTTTTGAACGATTTTTCAATACTTGTCAAAATTACACAGATTATGTATTAAAGATTTATGTATAATAAGAATATCATACTGGTGTATGTTAATTTTTGGATAATTTCTTATAGAGTATAANTTTCAAAAACTGGAATGTTGCAGTAATAAGCCCTATATTAAAAAGGAAGACTCGGTCAAAACAAAGAATTACAAAAGTATATCTCTCTTAGATTACGATACAAATAATATAAATCATTACTATTAAAAAGGATTAACCTATATGTTAATGAAATAGTCGGGGAGTATCAAAGCGGTTTAGAAAAGGTAAATAGATATTGGATCATTTATTTACACTAAAGCAGATAATGACTAAGTCTTATGAATTTTATAAGGAATTGCACTATGTATTTATAGACTAGAAATAAACATTGATAGGGACAAACTATGGGAGGCACTGGAAGTACTAGGCATTCCTAAAAAGTACATAAGTTTTAAAAAAGTATGCAACAATAGAACTATATGCAGAGTTCGTTTTTTGCAAGAGATCTCTGAAACTTTTGAGGTAAAATGAAGTCTTAGACAAGATTATGCTTAATCAACCACTTTGATTAATCTAGCATTAGAAAAAGCAACGAGAGAAATATGGGACGGTTGAAAAATGGAAATATGTGGGAATTGGCGTATATTGGCGTAGGCAGATAACGTTGCAGAAATGAAAAGCAGAAGCACAAACATAGACCACATAATAGTAGATGAGTATAGTTTCAAAAAAGTGGAAGTATTTAAGTACCTAGGCGTTAACATAAATAGCAACAACGACATGCACGAAAAATCAACGATCGAAAAGCATCAATGTTAGCAATCAATGCTACTATAACATAATGAGACTTCTTAAATCAAAACTACTGTCACATAATTTAAAGAAATTACTGTATCATAGCTATTTACAACCAATAATCACACGCACGATTGAAAAATGATTATTGACCAAAGGAAACAGCAAACTGCTAATGACATTCGAAAGAAAGATACTGAGAAATATTTATGGTCTAAAATTCAATGCAGAAGTGCAAAATTACGAAAGAAGAAATAGTCGAGAACTACAGGCGTAACAACAGGCCAAATATTATATCACATATAAAAAGCAAACGCCTAAAATGGTTCAATCATGTCTTGTGAGCGGATGGACAAGTAATAATAGAATTTTTAGTTATAAAATAAATAAAATACATCCATTAGGGAGACCAAGGGACCGATGATTGGACATTATAGCTCAAAATATTAAAAACAAAGAAGAATAGTCAATTTTTACAACGTATATGATAAAGAAAAATTATGGGATTTTGTGGTGACAGAGATAACACTCAATGAGCCAATAATCCGAGAAAAAAAGCTCAAAAATCACTGTATATCTTATTTTGCTCAAACAAAAATATATTTTGAATCTTTTATCTTTTTAGATAAAAAAAAATTTGTCAAATAATAATCTATCATTTTTCTAAAACAAAATCCTTGGTACATGCCATCAAATTTCCTAAGTTCGTCATATAATGACCACAAATTATGTCAGTAGATTACACATTGTAAACATACAACCAACAGTACGCACTATGTCATCCGCACTACATATTCANTTAATTTCACGAGTTTATTTCGTCTTTTATTATTTATTTAAACCGATTATAATTTTTATCATTAAGACTGTTATAAAAATTTTTTCTTTTTAGGTCGGGAAAATAAAACAATCACAATATTGATAATATTTTAAACTTTATTACAATATGATAATTAGAAATAACTATTGAAATATTCATTTCAATATTGTGATTGAAAAAAATTTTATAATTTTATAACAGTTTTAATGATAAAAATTATAATCGGTTTGAATAAATAATAAAAGACAAAATAAACTCGTGAAATTAAAAAAATATCACATAATTTGTGGGTTTTTTCAGTTTTTCTTGTTATTTAATCGTTTAAACTAAAAATAAACTATATCACAGGACTCCCAGTAAAATTTCAATACAAATTGATGGGTCACACTAATGTGAAATTTTTTTCCAACTTTGAACCCAAAGTTCAGGGGAGGGCGCAAATGTTACAAAAAGTCGAGGGAAATATTTTGGTATGATTTATTTTTTATTTTAGAGAAATTCGAGGGGGTTATTCCTAAATTCCTCCAATTTTGGAAAAAAAAAAAAAAAACGAGATCCTATTTTACACTCCACCAGTATACTCGCCCATATATTACTATGGTATAAAAGTGTCAGTCTTTCCGGAACACTTTCAAAAGTTAATTTTTTGTGAAAAGTTGTCATTTTAAATCCCCCTCTGTGGGCTGGTAAAGGGTTAATTAAAAAAAATATTCTCTAAATGGTTGTTAAAGACATTAAGCATCTATAAAAAATAATTTATAATGTTTTGTTCATTTTTGTAAAAATTAATGGCAGTTTTAAGTATCTCCAGTGGCTGAACATTTATTGACACATAATCACTCCATTAAAACTATAAATCTAATCAAAAACGTAAATAATTACAAAGAACTTAATATCAGAGAAGCAATAGAAATGTTTAAAAATAAAAACAATTTAATTAATTGGGATCTTGGCCCACTGAAAAATTCATTATTAAACTTGTGTAAACTGGCAAAATGTGATAATATTACTTAGTGATGACGTCACTGGGTGATCAGGTCACTAGGGGTATATAAGGGAGTTTTTCTAGTCGGGATGTCAGTATGTGTTTAGCGTTGATAATGGTAACATTGTTTCCGAAATACGTATCCGCGACTTTTCATTAATTTTTTTGTGGCTTTTGAGTTTAATATTTTTAATATTTTTTAGTTTTTTTAAATTAATAATATTTTTAATATAGTTTTAATTTTACTTAATTAATTAGTCACAAGTGATCAATTTTTATTATATTTAAAAAATATATAACAATATGTTATATAATAAACATGATTAAATATAACAAAAAATTGTATTATGAACAAATTTAAAAAAAAATTGACAGAAATTATGTATATACTTAATAAACCAAACATAGAATGTAAAAATAATTGACATAATATCAAAAACTAATTAATAATGTGACCTAATAATTTCATATATGATAAAATATGAATTAAAAATAAAAATTTACTTGAAAATTCATTTTCTACAAATCCAGAGTCAAAATATATAGTAAGAATGTTCGTAAGTAAGGAAACAGGTCAATTGTTACAAATAATGAGAACAATAGAAACTCGTTTTTTTACTTACTGAACACTCTATAAATAAGAAAATGAGAAACCAAACCTCAATCAAAACATGCGCGTGGAATTAAAAAAAAATAATCGTACAATGGAAAAAATAAATTGATTGAATACATTTTTTTAATTAAAAACAATAATATATATTAATAATAAATTCAATAGATAATAAAATCTACTAAACATTTACTTTTCACAAAATTAAGGGTCACAATATACATATGTGCAAAAATAAGTCAACACCCTTAATAAAAACATTCGCGTGGACTTAAAAAAAAAAAATTTTGAAAATCAGAGCATGCTAAGTGACTTACCCACAAAAGCGTTTTTTTCCTAGTTCTATTATATAATAAGATAAAAGGACGTGTACATGCATTATTGGCATACCGAAAAATCGTTATTTTTCCTTCAAAATTGATGAATTTCAAACGGCCAGAGTTTTGGTCGGATTTTTGGTGCTTTTTCGGCACGTGCAGATCGCCGTAATATAACTGCGAATCGAAAAAAAATCGTTTTAATGTCGTAAAAGAAAATCGGGTGGCGCGCCCTGGCGTCTCAAGCGTTTGAAAAAAAAAAAAGCTCGTAGAACAATGAAAAATGAACGACTTGAATTGATTTTTTTATGATATCTCAGAAATATTATTAGGCAGGTCTGGTGAAAATTTCAAACCTTAAGTCATAAAACGCTGGTGTCAAAGAGCGTTTTTCTCGAAAACGATCGAAATTTTAAAACGCTCGCGGGTGAGCGGCAAAAATTTTCCGACCTTCGTCAATAATTTTCCTGGAGTCTCATAACCGAGCACTTTCGTTAAAAAAAAAATTTTCCCAGAAAAGCGTTTTTTCCTTATTCTATTATATAAGAAGATGACAGTATTTCCAAACATTTTTCAAAATATAAAAATGAAAATTACGTTTAAACATTTAAAATTTTAAACATATAAGACGTACATTTAAAATTAAACATATATTGTATTTTTTTCAGTAAATATCATGTCCGCAGTTATGAGAAGTAAATTACAATTTAATTTATATCCACTTGATATTAATAAAAGTATATTATTTTGACTTATTTGTTATTTAGATACCGATACGACTTCAGATTTTACTGGTAATATGGAAAAATTGTATTAATATACATAGAATTTGTTATTTAGATCTTAATGTGACTTTAACTTAAACGCTAATTTTTTTTTTAAAGTTTTGCTTAAAATTTTCCGATTTGACGGGCAATTGTTTATGTTGAAAAATAGATATTTATTAGATTTTTCTTAGGCCCAGTGATTTAAAATTAAAGAAATAGCAGTTTTAACACAGAGAAATAAATTGATTATGTATTTTTTTACAGTAGTATAGTAATAAATAATTTTAGTTTGCTAAAAAAAATGTATCAAAGGATTTGTATTACATTGTGTGAAATGGTGTGTATGTTATGAGTAAAACAAGATGGCAGCTGATCAACAATAGACTATTGTCAGGTTTCAGTGGCATACCTGCCTTGACAGACATAAACGTACACAGTATGACTCGTTGAATTACTCGTAACAATTAAACATTCCTGTATTTATTTTAAAAAACTAACGTAATCCCATCTCAATTTGTACCAAACAAGATTAAAACTATTTATTGAAACATAAACTATCATAATATACATATACAAATATTAACAAAAATCACATGATTGTGAAGCCAGTACTTTATCAGTTTCCTACGATAACATAAAAAAAAATACGTTTATACATTTAAAATTTTGTAGATATAAGTTTTTAAGAAAAAAAATAAATATAAAATGTATTGGTTTTAGTTAATAACTTTCGCGAAGCTATAAGAGGTAAATAATGATTTAATGAATATTTATGCACTGGATAATTCTGAAAATATTTTATTCTAACTTATTTATTATTTAGATATTCATATGACTAGAGATAATATGGGTAAGAAGGGAAAATTATATTAATATACATAAAATTTGTTATTTAGATCTTAATGTGGCTTTTAATGAAATGTCCAATTTTTCTTATGAATTTTTTTGCTTAAAAATTTCCAATATGATAACCAATTTTTCATAGTGCAAAAAAGATCTTCATTGGATTAATTGCACTGTAACTTAAAGTCATTTTGAAGGCAAATTTTTCTTAAAAAAATAACGTTTGCGAATAACATAATTATGTATTAAAAGTATTGTATTACGTTATTAATATATCTCATATTTCTATTCAATCTATTTTATGTATACAGAATAGGTTTAAACATAACTTATTCAGTGTTTATACACTTGTTTAGATCACAATTCTCCAGTTTTTTTTAGCATAAATTATCAAAATCAGTCTAGAATTTTCATGGACAAATATAAAAAAATCACATAATTGTAAAAATAGTACCTTTTCATTTTCCGTTTGCCTCGATAATTCTACCAATTTGGACAGATTTATCGATGTTTAATGATACCAGTATTTCCATAAATTTTTCAAAATCTAAGAATAAAAAAACGTTCTCAATGTACAAAATTCTTTACACAAATTTTACTTTTTAGGAAGGTTTTTCACGAGACATTCATAAAATACATTAATTAATTTCAAATTTTGAACATAAACGATCATACATATAAAATTAAATATATATTGTATTTTTTTTAGTAAATATGTTGTCCGAAACTATGAGAAGTAAATGAAAATTTTATTTATATCCACTTGATATTACTAAAAGTATATTATTGTAACTTATTTGTTATTTAGATACCAATACGACTTCAGATTTTACTGGTAATATGGGAAAATTATATTAATATACATAGAATTTGTTATTTAGATTTTAATGTGGCTTTAAGTTAGACGAAAATTTTTCTATATATTTTTTACTTAAAATTTTCCAATTTGACAGGCAATAGTTCATGTGGAAACATAAATTTTCATTCTAAACATATCGAAAGAAATTTTATTGTCTACAGTTAAAATTATATTAGGACCAGAGTTTTAAAAATATACATAATGCATAATTTTATAATTATTTTACATAAAACAAACTTTTACTCAAACCAAAGTCAAAATAGAAAATCTGTAATAATAACACTATCATAAAAATACGTTTCGACACAAAGATGTTAAATGTCACAGTAATTGTGCAACTACTAAAATGTAAAATTTTACACGCCAATTTCTTACAGTAAATCAATGGAAAGTTTAATGTCCAAACATTTTTCAAAAACTAGAAATTGCACAAAATTCTTTATTCAATAAATTTCTTTTTTACAGTTTAATCAAAAAATTGCATTAATTTATTTAAAATATTATATATATAAGTTTAAAAAAGAATTGTATATATATATTATTATTATGAAATCGTAAATCATAAAATCTTATTTTATTCCTTCACTAAGATAAGAACAAGTCCTAAGACAATTTTATTTCAAAGTGAAATTTTTATGTAAACTAAATCTGTGTTGATATGTGTAAATCTGCAAGAGTTATGAAAACATTTTTAAATTAAAAAATAAAAAATGTTATTAATTCTTATTAAGCATGTATATCATGAGTTATTAAAGAGAAATATGTTTATGTATTTAAAATATTCTACATATAATGTATATTTTTTTAGCAAGTAACTCGTCCTCAGATGATACAAGTAATAATAAATATTAATTAGATTTAGTTATTTATAAACTAAACAATTAGGATAAATCTAGTTAATATATCCATTGTAAATTAGTAAAAATATTTTTGCCTTCATTGTGCTTTAAAACTACTTGTGTATAGTGATGTGAAAAATAGAATTAATATACATAAGATATATTTGAACAATACTAATTCAAGGTTTATACTTTTATTTAGATGTCGATATGACTCCTCAAGTAACACGTAAGTGCTAAAAAAAATTAAACATAATAATTAATCATTATTTAATTTTATATATTTTATTATGATTGAATAAAATATGCAACTATGTCCATTTATTAATCACTTTAATTAAGAATAAAATTTAAATTAATAAGTATGTTAGTTGATTAACAATAAATAAGAAAAAGGAAAGTATATTGTTTTAATTTTCTTGGTTAAAATTTTATTAGGACCAGAGATTTAAAATTAAAGCTATAATAATTTTATAATGAAAAAAAAAATATTGAATATGCTTTAGTTACAGTAGCATAGTCTTAAGGTATTTTATAAAAATTTAAATTAAATGTAGATTTCCAAATTTTGGTTTATATTATTTAATTGATTAATCTAAATTACAAATTTTTTTTTTAAGAGAACAATTTTTTACATATAAGTGTTTAAAGAAAACATAAAATGTTTTGTTTTTAGCTGATAATTTGAGCGAAGCTATAAGAAGTAAGTAATTATTTAATTGATTTATAAACAGTAGCATAATTTTGAGGTATTTTATAGTCGGTTAAATAATATATAGAAATCTCCACATAAAAATTACTCTTTGGGAAGTATTATGTTGGAATATCAAAAAAATTTCGTACTAATAAAATTATACATACAATTTATTTGTTTTAGCTAATGACTTGAGCGAAGCTACAACAAGTAAATGATAATTTAATAGATTTATATGTACTGGATAATACTAATAATGTTTTATTATTTAGGTAGCAATACAAATACGGAAAATATTGGTAAGACGGAAGAATGTTATTAATTCACAAAGTATTTGTTATTTAGATCTGAGTATGACATTAAGTTCGAGGCTTTTTTTTAATACATAAAATTTAAAAATATAACGTTTGAGAATAACAAATATATATTTAAAATTATTATTTTTTCGTTTTTATTATATATCATATTTCTTTCAATCTATTTTAGTATTCAGAATAGGTTTCAACATAACTAATTCATTTTTTTTTTTTATATTTGTTTAGATAACAATTCTCGAAATTTTAATAAATATTTTACTGAAGTTGAAATTTATACATTTAAAATGTTAAACCTATAAAATATTTAATAATACTATAATACTATAATTTATATTTTTTTAGTTCTTGACTTAGTCTATACTATGAGAAGTAAATGATTTTTATGTATTACTAAATACTAGATATTTCTAAAAGTACATTATTTTAACTTATTTATTATTTAGGTATCATTATGGCTTTAAATAATACTGGTAAACAAAGGAAATGTTATTAATATATATATAGAATTTGTTATGTTGATCTTAATGTGACGTTAAGTTATAGCCTAATTTTTCCTACATAAAATATAAAAATAAGTTATTAGAAAACAACATATTTATGTTTAATAAGTATTGTTTTAGATTATAAATTAATATAGAATATATATTTAACCTATACCTATTATGTATATAACTATTCTAAACATAACTACCTAACTAAATTATTCAATTCTATAATAAATCTATTCTATGTAGAACTTAGCCTATTCTGTGTTATTATTCGAACTTGTTTAGATGACAATTATGTAAATACAAGTAAAAAATTAACTAAAGAATTTTAAATTTTATGTAACACTTTTTTTTAATTCCTATGGACAATTGAGAAATTGTATATATAAAAACACACATTATTACATGACATTTATGATTTTTTCATTTATGACGATGATATTACTAAGGTTCTAACAATTTTTACGGATATTTTTGATGTCTTTCTCTGAATATATAAAAAAATTTCACTTTACTGTTTTTGTTATTTAGATAACGAAGTATAATTTACCTAAATATTTTTGACCATCGCTAATTCAATGTTTTGTTTATTGTTTAGATGACAATACGGCTCCTCAAGAAACAAGTAAGTACATAAGATGCAATATTGGACACTTAATCTAAAAAAATTTTCAATAAAGAGATTAAATTTATTTTAAAAACCATTGAATATACCATTGATTGTCTTGACCTGCTTGCTCAAATACCACTTAATGTCTCCATTGAAAATTTTGGATTATATTTAGTTTCGATGTGAAGTTGAGAAGTATTAATTTTACTATGATGTGTTATTTTATGTCTGTCGCCACTTTTTCTTAGTTCTCATATGACCGATTTCTTTCAGTGATACATCGAAAGATCAAAAATCAAATCTAGTTGAACACATTGCCCTTAAAAATTTTAAAAAATTCCTTCGTTCCCATTAATGGGAAATTGCCCAAAAATATTACGATATTTAAAATCGGTAAATTTCGACATTTTTTAAACTTTTTTCTTAAAACTGCCATAACTTTTTAAAAAATGAATAAATCAACATAATTTTTTTTATATGAAGCCTTATGAATTTTTCTATCATTTGATATATTTTTGTGGACATTTGACCATTTTCCACCTACCAACAGTGGGGGGGGGGTTCAAAATAGCAACATCTGCACAAAAATTTAACTTTTTCAACTTAGGTTTTAAAAATGTTCGGAAATACTCTGACTTTCAAGCATAAATTATAATAAAGCTTATATTACATACTATAAGTTCAAAACAAAAAAAATTGTCTTTGCAATTTATATTCTATGTGTCAATTTTGATGTTAAAATTTTCAATTTCATATTTTAATTTTTCAACTTTAAATTGCTATAACTTTTTAAAAAATGTAAAGTAACTACTACTTTATAATTTTTACAATTTCACCATAAAAATTACAATACAAAATTATTAAATATTGATTTTTATTTGATTCACATGCTAGCCTTTAACTTATAAATAATTTTTAGCTTCGATGCGAAGCAGAGAAGGTATCAATTTTACTATGATGTGTTTTTTTTTTTGTGTGTCTGTGAACGCTCAATCTCAGCTGTCGCTGGACCGATTTTGATGAACAATACGTCAAAAGATCACAAATCGTATCTAGTCAAAGACATTATCCTCAAAAATTGAAAAAAATTCCCTCATTCCCCGTAAACAGGGGAAATCCTCCAGAAAATTACAAATTTAGAAATCGNAAAAAATTCCCTCATTCCCCGTAAACAGGGGAAATCCTCCAGAAAATTACAAATTTAGAAATCGCTAATTTTCGACGTTTTTTCAATTTTTTTTACTTAAAACTTCCTTAACTTTTTTAAAAATGACCGAATCAATATAATTTTTTTTTTATAGATACCTTACGTATTTACCTATCATTTTATTTATTTTTTTGAACATTTGACCCTTAAACCACCCATAGGGAGGATTCAAAATGACAACTTTTTCATAAAAAATTAACTATTTCAACTTAGGTTTTAAAATGTTCCGGAAAGACTGACACTTTTTTATGTACCTTAAATTAAAGCTTATGTTATAAACTTTAATTTAAAAATAAAAAATTTGACCTCTAAACTTGTCTTCATGATAAAAATGATTACCGTATGCAAAAATTCTTTTTGTGAACAAATTCTTGACATTATATTTACATTTTTTAACATTATGTTGCTATAACATTGTAAAAATATAGAAATTATTACATATAAATAGTATAAAGATCATTTTGACATTTTATATAACATTAACATGGGTTTTTATATTTAAGATTAGGGTTGATACAAAGGGTTTAATTATTAGGATTAAAGAAACCCAGCACATAACTTATTTAGTTATAACTTGCACCCCCCAGTTATAACATTATTAAGTAAAAAATATAAAAAGAATTATTTTAATTATTTTATATATTTTGAATTATTTTTTTTAAATNTTTTCAATTTTTAAGGGTTATGTCTTCGACTAGATACAATTTGTGATCTTTTGACGTATTATTGAAAGAAATCCGTTCGGTGAGAGCTGAGTAAAAGTGGTTCACAGACACACAAAAAAAAAACACATCATAGTAAAACCAATACCTTCTCAGCTTCGCATCGAAGCTAAAATACAATTTTTAATTATTAATTGGATTACCTATATAATATTACATTGAAGCAATTAAATTTTTGTTTGGTGTATTTAAATGAATTTATTGTTTTTTTACTACAAGTAATATTATCTAACTTTATGTATTGTATTAAAATACCAGTAAAATTTTTTTTATATTATCTGATTAGGTGAAGAATAGGAAGTACTAACCAAATAGCAGATTCAAAATGATAATATTTTATAATTATTCTATTAAAATTATTATTTTGTAAAACTGATTTGTAGAATAGGATTATTTTCAACTATTTTAAAATTTTTCTAAAATAATATTTTATTAAAAATATAGTATAATTATTAATTTAATTACAATGTAAAATTAATCTTAAAAAAAACGTTTAAAAATGTTTAACAAAAATTTCATTAAAATATTACAATAAAAAGATTTTGAAAATATTAATTTTGTAAATTCTATACAATTAAACAAAAAACGTTTATATAATGTTTTAATGGAAAATTATTTAAATATTATAATAAAATATAATAATTGTAAAATGACATTTAACAATAAAAAAAAACATATATGGCAAGAATATAAATATTAGTTTGCGGAAAATATTTGTCATTTTCATTAAAGAAATGGTCATTCTGATAGAATCTTTTTCTTTGGTGTCTAATAGAATGTGTAAGGGAGTAGTTTTGAGTCTTTTGTAAAAAAAGGTATTTTTTATTTTATTTTATCCACGGAGTAATACTGTTTTGGTGATATATCTTTATTGATTATATGACATATACTATATATACAGGGTGTTCAGTAAGTAAGGAAACAGGTAAATTGTTAAATACAATGAGATCAATAGAACCCCATTTTCTTACTAACTGAACATTAGGGTGGTCCTTAAAATACAAATTTTCAAAATTCGATTTACGCGCACCAAAAAATTGTTCTAATACATGTAAAAATAAACTGTGCAAAATTTGGTCCCGATAGGTTGACGTTAACACGTGCCGCAAGAGGGTTGAAAATTCGATCAAAAGGGTAGTTTTTCAGTTATTGTGCTTTATCTCAAAATATATGATTTTTACGTAAAAGTTTATAAGAAACAAATTATACATATAATTATTTTACATAAAAAAAGTTATTAGCAAAAAACTCATAAGTCAAATATTTACCTCCTAAAAGTCAAAAGTTCCATAAATATTATGTTTACTAATAAAATTCATATATTTCGGCAATTTAAGTATATACGATGAACCGTTCAAGTTATAAAAAAAATTTTAAAAAAATATCCAGAAATTTAATTTTTTTTTATTTCATTTACCTTTCTCTCACTAAAAAATAATCTTTCCCGTCGAATAGTTGATCGGTTGATTATTAACTTTGATACGTTATTACCTAATGCTTCAGCAGTAGAAATAATTAAATGCACAGCATCGCGGTCAGATATCTTGCATTGATCTAATGCAGAAAGTAATTTAGGATTCATAAAAGTTATAAATCCTCGTGTTTTTGAAGAATATGATGAACCAGACAAATCATCTTCTGTTTCATATTCTGAGGAACTAAACAAATTTAACTCAACAACATTATCTAAACAAAAAATGATTAATGATAGAAAAATGATTGTTATTTATAAGTTTTCTTTATTACCTCGCCAGAAAACACGTAAAACAATTTTATTTTTCTACAAAACTAATAGAAAATTAAATTTCAAATAACTTTTACATGAAAATTTTTTTTATAACTTGAACGGTTCATCGTATATACTTAAATTGCCGAAATATATGAATTTTACTGGTAAACATAATATTTATGGAACTTTTGACTTTTAGGAGGTAAATATTTGACTTATGAGTTTTTTGCTAATAACCTTTTTTATGTAAAATAATTATATGTATAATTTCTTTCTTATAAACTTTTACGTAAAAATCATATATTTTGAGATAAAGCACAATAACTGAAAAACTACCCTTTTGATCGAATTTTCAACCCTCTTGCGGCACGTGTTAACGTCAACCTATCGGGACCAAATTTTGCACAGTTTATTTTTACATGTATTAGAACAATTTTTTGGTGCGCGTAAATCGAATTTTGAAAATTTGTATTTTAAGAACCACCCTACTGAACACTGTATATTATTTATTACATGTATTAAAATATATTATAACAAATTGATACTTCCTTTGAAGTAAACTTATGAATTGTCGCTGGGTTCATAGAATAAATCTCGTTCCATTAAATTCGTAAAATAAAAAAACTGTAGTAACTGCTAATAATCAGTGATTGCTCAGTATATAAGAGACACTAATGTATCAATAGCGCATTTCATTATAAGTAGTTAATAATGAACATTAAAATTAAATATACAACATTGTATATTCACAAAGTGATATCCCTTAAGCAAAATAGACGTGTAAAATAATGTACTAAATATTTGCTAGTTATAAATAGCATTCTATAAAATTTACTTAAATTACGTGTAAAGTGGTGTAATTACGGGGTGAATAAATGTTAGATTTGAAAAAAACTAAAAAAAATGGCCATGTTGCAATTATATGTCTGTGACCCTTAACATTTTTTGCAAACCTTTAAATTACAAGGTATTCAATGACACATTTTTATTTATACATTATTGAGCGATTGTATAAGGAAAATATTGTGTAATTATTTAATATGTGTTATATTGATCAGTCAATTAAAAAAATAGCTTTTAATCTTTGATTAAATTTATATTAGTTTATCGACGGCGAAATTAACGTGTTAACTCGTCTTTTATAGAAACTATGTCTTTCCTATTTGTAGTAAACCCAAAAGAAATTAAATAAAATAGAGGATTTAAAAGGGAATATAATATAAAAATGTGTAATGCTTGTAATATACTAAAAGAAAATTAAAAGGCTGGTTCGTAGTTAGAATAAAATAAAATAAAATATAATGGAATGGAGTAATATGATATGTGGTTAAGTATGGCATAATATGTAAGGGTGTAATGATATAAATAAAAAAGGTTAAGAAAGGTGAGTAAACGGATGCTAAACGCAGAAGTGTAATAATCGAATAAATAAAATAAATACAAACGTTTATGAAAAATAAAGGATTGATATCGGTTGAAATGTATTGAGTAAATGATGTTAAATATTCCTTACAAAATTTTATCACTTATCTTAATGGTTTATTAGACAATAGATTGTTTGTGGTTTGAAAGCATAAATAAATACTTACTTGTATCCTATGTAACATAACAAGATTTTAAACATTCCAACGTTGATTCTGAATGTCACACTATATGTGTCACACGCTGTATATTGCGCGTTGTGTCGTCAATATGACTGTTTAGAAAAACAATTTAATTTTAAATAATACGAAATCGTTACACAAAATCTATGACTTGTTTTATATATGTAAAAGATTCTATACACTATATTTTTATTATAAATATAAATTAATAATGTACCCTTATTTCATTTTAGTATAAGTATCCTTTTGAGAGAGTATATTTTATTGAAAGGTCGACAACAATATTTTTTAAAGCTTCCCCTGGCCTTATTCTTAACTTTCGAAGTAATCATTTTACAACAAAATGTTTCGTATAAAAAATTTGTAAAATTAAATATTCTAAAACACCATTCTTATGTAAAAAGATCGTTAGCGATATTAAAATAACAAAAGTATTCATCTGACAATAATTTTACATAAAAATAATGTTTTAGAAAATTTAATTTTACATATTTTTTATACGAAACATTTTGTTGTAAAGTGATTATGTCGAAAGTTAAGAATGATTTATCTTCAAAAATTTAATTTTAGCAAATTTTTTTTTCATTTTTTATTTTATATTTTTGAGCAAGTAAAAATAATTTTAGAAAATGTTTGTAAATACCTTTTATAAGTTATCAAAACCAAATTTTACCCAATTGAATTACATATAATAACGAAAAAAATTGGCGGGTACGAAGATTGATCAAAGAAAGTTTATAGAATATGAGCCACCCTAATCTAAATACAGAATAATTATTTCTAAATTTCAAATTTTCAATAAGTTTCAAAATTTTGAGTTAATATATATGTATAATACATGATGGATAAAAAATACAGGTAGCTAATTGTTTTTTATGACGTCGCTATCGTAGATACGGAGCATTTATTGTCCATTATGACTATCGACAGATGTGTTTTCTGTATTGCTAATTGGTGTATTTATAAATATTAACTAACAACATTATGCCTTAAAAACTACTATAAATTAAGCATATCTGTTGATAAAGTCATAATTGACAATAAATGCTCCGTATCTACGATAGCGAAGTCATAAAAATCAATTAGTTACTTATATTTGTGTTCCTTTATATATTGTACATGTATATTACTCAAAAAAATATATATTGAAAAAATCAAAAGTAGCTCTAAAAAATGGGTGTTTTCTAATATAAAGAATGATTTTTTTATCATAAACCACTCAATTACTTACAGAATTTAAAAATTTTTTTTATCTTTAGTTACACATTATTCTTAAATTATTAATTATGTAATTTTTTTTAAGTTCATTCTTATACTTTGTCAACTTTGTTTTTTTAAACGGGAACAGATATTTTGAATTTAATAAAATGTTTGAGTTCTTAATNTGAAGTAAAACAATATTTAGGATATTTTGTCATTTCTATATCTATATCGGACACTAATATTAAACGATAATATGTAACGATTAGTACAAAGTTAAATTACTGTAGATAAATATTTTTATGTATATTATATTACAAGGCCGTAGCTGGAACAAATTTTCGGGGGGGGTTTTAACCAAATTATATGTTTTTAAATAATTTAAAAAAAATACTAATACATAACATAAACAAAAAAAAATTGTCTTACTATTAAGTTAGGTTATACAACAAGATATTATACTTTATGTTATGACCTACCTTTGTCAATATTTTATAAAATTTACCTTTTGAAGTATACTAAAGTTAAAATACAAAATTATAATACAATACAATACAAAATTTTATGAGTCATTTTTCAGTTTAAATTTTAAAATAATACATTTTTACAGCACAAAGTCTATCAGTCNACATTTTTATAGCACAAAGTCTATCAGTCTTTTTTTTTCTTTTGCAAAACTGTCGATCACATCGTCTGGATTTATTTTAATTTGTCTATGCACACTCAAAAGTGCTAGACCTGTAAGACGTTCTTGGCCAAATGAATTTCGTAAAAAGTTTTTTAGCCTTTTCATAGTAGAGAATGAGCGCTCTGGTGTAGAAGTCGAAACTGGTAATGTAGCTAATATTTTCAAAAGAAAAGATACATTTGGAAAATATTCATAATTACATTAAATGTACGCTTCGATAGCCGAATTTGGACGGTCTACATCTAGTTCGTCAGTCCATTTTCTTTTCCACAGTGTAATTTCTTGTGGCAGTACTTCCAAATCCAGAAATTCTGAATATATTTCAAAATCATTTAAATCAATTTTAAATTTATCGCATGTTTTTGGTAATAACTTGTGCAATGAAGAAATTATTTTTTTATGATTATTGAACCTTGTTTGAAGCTATTCAATGAAGTCGTCAAAAAAAGGAATAGCTATTGTAATACGGTAGTATTCTTCAGGTGAATTCACTACAATATTACTTCGATTTTTTTGATATCCAACAATTCTAGGTATTCTTATACATTCTTCGTCATCAATTGATTTTATAAGAGCCTCAGCTTTTTTAAAAATATTGGAAAATGTATTATCCATATTACTTCGCATATCATTTATTTCGTGTAGTACAATATCAACATACGCCATTGCTTCGGTTAAATCACAATTTACAGACTGTAAATTCTTACACAGTGGCAATGTTAAGGAAAAAAGTATAGATGCTGAGACCATACTTATTACAAAATCACTGGTTATAATAGTTTTTCCAAATTGTAATGCTTTTGATGACGTTTCAATATCACGAGTGAACTGTAATTCTTCCAATGTATTAACAATTGCCCCATAAATTTCTGTAAATCTTATTAGTCCGTCATGATTTTCTACCCAACGTGTCTCGCACATTGATGTAAGTTTGGTCCACTTAGATTCAGGAAATTGTTCTTTAATGTATTTTTTTAAAATTTCGGTTCGCATTGCTGAACCTTTAATGAAATTTCCTACCGATTTTATGGTACCAATACAGTTACGAATATGTTGAATACTACAGGAATGAGAGAGAGCCAAATTTAAAGAATGAGCACTACAGTGTACGTAAAGCGCGGCCGGATATTCTTTTCGAATAATTGCTTGCACTCCTTTGAAATTTCCGCTCATTGCAGCCGCCCCGTCGTATCCTTATCCTACCATATACTTCGGATTTATTCCAAGAGATTTAATACTATCTAAAATGATATTGGCTAAATTTTTACCAGTCGTATTTTCTACCGACACGAATTTTAAAAAATCTTCACGTAAAATGAATTGATGTTCAGGATCTTCATCGATATATCGAATACAAAGTGACATTTGTTCAATTCGCGATATATCAGTCGTCTTGTCTACTAATATTGAAAATGATTTTGCCCTATTGATTCTATCCACTAAACAATTTTGAATTATTTTTCCAATTAAATTAATTAAATTATTTTGAATAATAGCNCAATTATATCAATTAAATTATTTTGAATAGTAGGACTTAAATACATAGCTTTAAATGTTTCATTTTCAATACAATCAGTCATCATTTTATCACCGCAGTTCATTCGCATTCGCAGAAGAGCTCTAAAATTACCATCATTGTGGACTGACTCATTTAAAGTGAGTGGTCCAGAATCAGATGTACCACGAAGAGCCAATTCTTGACGACCACACAAAATTATTGTTTGAATAACTGGTGTTAATTTTTTTCTATTTTCAACTATTTGATTAGCACGTGCCGAATCAATTTTTTGACAAATATCTAACTGTTTGTTGCAATATATGGAAATAAAATTTTCAGCAAAAAAAACGTTGTTTTTATGATACTCTGTGTGCTAATGCGTGCTAAAAATTTCAATTGCATTTTTCCATTTATTGAATGGTTTTGTTACTAATACGCCGGGTTTTTGATGTGCACCTTTACCGGTAAAGTTATGATAAAATATAGCACAATATTTGCACACCGCTCCAGAACCTTGCATATTAGTGTAACATAACCAAGGGAATCGATTAATCCAATTTAATTGAAATTTTAACTTTCTATTTCCTGATATAGGAAATTTAAACTTTTCATCAGGAATCCAAACATTAGAAAGTAACTTATATTTTAATTCATCACTAACCTTTTGATCAAAACAGCAACCAATATCAGCTACATCACTCTTAGATTTTTCTGTTGTACCTGGTGTGATTGCAGTCAATACTGGACTTGAAGTACAGACTTCATTTCCGTCATGGGTTGTTTTTATTTTTTTATTAAAATAGTTTGTTAAAGTATTAGCACAATTGCTCTTACGAGTTGACATTTTATAGAAAATATAAATAAATTAAAATAAACACGAGTATTATATTAATTTCCAAGAGAAATATCACCACTTAATAGTTAATAACTTTGTTCATAGGACGTCTCAACACAGAGTTACACCTTAAACAGTAAAATTCGCATTGCTCTATGAGTCTCAAGCAGGCGGTACAAGATAACATGTACATACAACTATGAAAAAAAAAAAAAAATAAACGATTTTGTTGTATAAAATAAAGTTATTAATAATATTATTATTGGAGATACTGAATACCGATAACGTTCTTTGAAAAACGGTAATACGGCCTACAGATAATAATTCTACTCTTCAACATGTTATCGTCGTCTGTCAATCGTTTACAATTAATCGCTAGTGACGTATATATCTATGTATATATTTTAATATGCTATTTATAAAATACGCCATTAGAATTCGTATCCACACAATTTCTGGATTATAAAATAATATAATATTTTACAACAATATAAATATGTTTAGAGAGTTATCTATATTATTATGTAAATTATTAAATTTTAAAGTTCAGTGTATTAACTATTAAAAAGCTTCGGAGGGGGGGGTCTGAACCCCAAAAACCCCCCCCAAATACGGCCTTGATTTAAAGTTTTAAATTTTTGAGTTAATATGCATATATAATTTAAGAGGGATTACAAATACAGATAGCTGTCATAGACACGGAGTGTTTATTGTTAATTTTGATTATCAATAAATAAACTTTTTGTATTGCCAGTTGGTGTATTTATAAACTCACAACAATGTGCCCTACTATCATTGATAAGAAATGCTGTGTATCTGTGAATATCGAAATTATGAAAAACCAATTAGCTACTTGTGTTATTAACTCGCGTATCCCGCCCCCCACAACACTCGCCGACAGCACTATTTCGTTTATTTGATGATCTTGTAAATAACTTAATACTAATGAAATTTTGAGCAATAATGTTGTTTCTGTTATTGGAAATGTGTTATTATTGTTCATAAAAGCAAAAAGAAATCTTTGTATGGTTTGAGCTTTATATATATTAATATCGAGATGTACAGTTACTTCCCAGAGAATATCAGTTATAATTTTAAATAAATGATATTTGCATTTAATAATGTTATTACAATAATTATTGATTATTTCTTTAAATACAAATTGAACTACAGTAATTAATTCCTTTTTTGTTGGGTTGTTCATTAATATTGGACTATAATCCTAACTGAAAAATTATGATATATTTGGTAGATTTTACCGAACAAAATTTAAAATATATAATATGGCTGAGATTATAGTAATTTTATTAGCAGGTGTTTGTCGTGTTTCGAGCTGTGGTCAGGCGTCACTTGTAATAAACAAAAAGAAGTAAATAGGTAATGTGGCGTGTTGGGTTGTGGGGTGTTGTTAGGTGTGAAAGGAAAAAAATGTAACACAGGTGGCCAATGAGGAAATAATAATCGTAGCGGGCGTAGTGTAAAAAGAATGGGAAGCAATGGAAAGTAAAAGTGGCTATAGATACCGGGCAGTGACTACAATAAAATGAAATAGAAAGGGATCTCTGGGTATGTATGCTTGTGTAAAGACGTCTAATATGTGAATAAGATGGAATTATAAAGAAGAGTCACTACCTAGCTCCTGCATAGAAACGCGTACACTAATTTCCGGCGAGTAACAAGTATCGTATTTTTTATAAAAATATTTTAGTTCATTCTCAATGACCTATCTTGTTCTAATTGTTTATTACTAAAAATTCTTCAGTAAAGAATCTATTATAGACTTATTATATAAACAAATGTTTCACTTACCTCTGACTATCCTGATAAGGCAGATATTCTCTTGAGATGAATGATGTAGTTGATGTAACGATTATCGATGTATATGTATATGCATTAATGTACGCAATTATATTTATACGGTTTATGCTATTATTAACTCGCGTGTAATTACTTTTCTAGTACAATTCTATATTAAATCTACCCATGGTGAAATCTAAGTTTATTATAACTCTGTTTTTTTTGTAAAACCCTTTTATATATTTATATAGTATAATCTTTAACCTTGTATGTGGTGTTTTACATTAATATATTTATTATTTAATCATTTATAAAACAAATAAATAAATTCTAAACAACATAACTGTCCTGTGCAACAAACTATTTCCAAGTGGCCTACGTCTTTTCAGTCGTCCAAAGAGTGATCTAGGGTAGATGCGAGCTCAATTTCAGTTCTTTACACAATAGATTATACTAGTGTCCTACACTCCGATTGCCCGCACTGTGGCAGAGATCAGGCTAGCTAGTCGATAAGTGGAGAGACACTTTAGAGAATGCTTATAATTAGTTGGAGTATTAACTATGATGTTAACAGCTAGGAAAGAAATTAGTCGCATACAGAGAATGGCTGCTATTGCCATCACTGGAACATTAAGAACTACACCAACGGTCGCATTAAAGGTACTAATTGGATTGCCTCCTCTGCATCTAGAGGTGAAAGCTCACGGCCAAAGCTACAGCACTAAGATTCCACAACTTAGGTATGTGGACTTCGGAGAGTGATACAACAGAACATGATAAAATACTAAAAGAGATAGACCAGGGCTTTTTAGAGTACCCCTTTGACTATATCAAACCGGCNATACCCCTTGGACTATATCAAACCGGTTCTTAAGAATAACATTCCCTACAAAGTGGAGATCACTACACGTAGAGAATGGAATATTAACCACCTGACTGACAAAGGAGGATTTGTGATATATACAGATGGATACAAAAAATAAGGAAAGGTAGGTGCTGGAATTTGGGGCTTAAAGCCACGAATAAATGTCAGTATGTCATTGGGCACAACACCCTCTGTTTTCCAAGCAGAGGTGATGGCGATACTGGTAGGGGCTCAGAACCTGCTGGTATACAAAAATAGGAAGATAACTATCTTAAGTGATAGTCAAGCGGCTTTGAAAGCACTCTGTAACGATCAGGTGAATTCAAAGCTGGTCCTCGAATGCAGGGAAACTTTAGAATCACTATCGAGGTTCAACAAAGTTACACTAGCGTGAGTACCGGGACACAACGGTGTCACTGGAAATGAGAATGCTGACTTTCTAGCCAGGAAAGGAGCAGAGAACACCTATGTTGGACCAGAACCAGTGGTAGGACTCACTGAGCAATCGCTCAAAGCGTTACCCAAGAATTGGTGCAGAGAACAACACAGGAAAATCTGGAAGTACTTGGTAGTACCTAGACAATCTAAAATGTTTATCAAGACCCCTGGTTTATTGCTGGGTGATCTTAATAGCATGACTAGACATCAAATAAGCACCCTGACTTGTCTACTGACAGTACATGGTCACCTGCTTAAACATCTTAACGCAATGGGGGTATCGGAATCACCATTGTGCAGGAAGTGTGGAGTAGAAGAGGAAGACTCATTTCACATCATGTGCGAATGTGAAGCCTTGTCCACACTAAGATCAAACTACTTGAATAAACGATTTTCCTGAAAAAGAAGATATTAAAAACCTAAAACCCAGAGAGATACTTAATTTCGCCAGAAAGACAGGACTCTTTGGTCATCTTTAGAGGTGACTTTATAGTTGGTAATGTATTAACACTTTGGTGATAACACTTAGGTGGGTAAACCGAATCAAGACAATTCGGTATGAGGTGCGCACAATGGACCAACAGGTCTGAGTGCATGAGCATTATGTCCACCTCGATAATAACTAAAACTAAACTATGATGTTATTGTGCTAGTATTCTGTCCAGCCAGGATGTGACGCTTCAATAAGTAATAGAACACGATGCAATCTAGTCATGTAACCTTTTAGTATGTTTATTTATATATTTGTAGATAAAAAGAGTAAATAAATACCAATGTTTTATATGTGTTAGAATATTTATATCACCAAAAGTATTCGACCAAAAATAAGATGTGTAATATTTTCAGTAATTACGAAAGAGGGTAAAAATAGTGCAGATTTTATATAGAATTGTAACTAAGAATGAAACATACACTCACGCACATTTACTTTATGTATCTTGGTTCAGAGTTCCAGAATTCCAGAGAGCCGTAGAGATGCAGAGATAGAATGGCAAGGCTTCCCAGTGTCCGCTAGAGAGATATTCAGAAACCCTATATAACCACCGTAGAAGAAACAAACCATAAAAGAAGCACCTCCTAAAAGAACCACCGTAAGAGAAGCGCCCGAATTTGGTGAAAATGGCCTTTTTATAGCCCGCAAACTGGTTTAGCGATCTCTGGTGAGATTCTTGAAATATTTTTTGCTGTATTTGATTTCTTAATGTGATAGAATTTTTTACGTGGGCGTTTTATGAAATGCGTAAAAGGGTGGTTAAATCTTGTGTAAGGGTATTATTTTATTATTCATCTTATCCACGGGGGAACACTGATTTGGTGATACATTTTATTAAATATAAGTATTAATTATTACATATATTAAAATGTGATACTACAATTTAAAACACATTATATTTGTATAAATAATACACATGTATACTAATTTTTCCAATTTTATATTTTCATGAATAAAACACAAAGATTAAGTTAAAAAAAAAATCATCATTGTAGGTATACTAGCATTATAAGGGAGTTTTGTGTAAAGGTTAATAAGCATTAAATAACATAAAATTGTCCCATTCTTTCGCTAGTTTTCAAAATTATTTTTTAGAGTTCTGTTATTAGAATAATGATATGTTTGATTTTGTATTTATATCGTCACTTTGACATAGTATTGTGATAATAAATCTCAATTTATACATATTTTCTCTGAATATTAAAAATCTAATATAAATTTATGAAAATTAATTTAAACATTTAAAATAACTATATTATGGAACAATTATTATCAATAAAGTATTACTATATTTTTACAAACAATGAGTAGGAGTAAATTTGTATTTACGTACCCATTTTTTTTTCTCATAATTATAAGAATAAACATTAGATTTATCTACCTCAACATCATCTAATGAATTTTTTTTCATCTCTGAAATGAAATAAACTTTTAAAACTATTATAAATACACGAGTATACTCACAAATAAATATATTAAAATAAATAATACAGTTAACTTAAGCAAACATAAGATTTAAAGTTTCTCATTATAAATCATTCAATAACAAATACACTTTTTTATTCATCAAATAATGAATTAATTATGAAAATGATACTTTTGAACTAGTATTTCGGAAGTTTTCGATAAATTTATATATTGGCCAATGAGAAATGACTAGATATAACAAAAGCAGCACCCACACTTCACTACTAGTCAACACAGAAACTATATGTAATGAAAAAAATATAAAACTAGATTTGGAATCAGCAGAAAAATGTCTTAATATGAGGGATGCAAAAATAAGTATAGTTTAATTATATTTGAGATTTTATGCAACTGCAAAATTCATTTTAATACTTATGTTAACTGGCAAAGTGTTAAAATTGCTAGAATTTTAATGAAATTTTTTTTTCGGTTGGGTGTTGATGGTAACATAAATATAGGAATACGTATATGCGATTATTATGTACTTTTTTTTTTAGTTAAATATTTTTTAGTTTTAAATAAATAATTTAAACATATTTTTAATTTTTAATTAGATTAGCAAAAAGAAATATAAAATTTGGTGGTGTCTTATAATTTTGACAACTACTGTATCTACACCATTAGAGCGTTGCTTACCTTTAGAAGGCCAAACAATCTACTGATTTAAATATGTTCTTTTTTATACAAATGATATAAAATAAAAAAAAAAAATATATATATATAATAAAATAAAATAGAAAATATAGAAAATATTATCTTAAAATGTTAATATAATTTATAAAAAATAAAAAATTATGTTAAATTTTTCCTTCTTTTATTTGTTAAGATTCCAAACAATTGTAACCACAACTGGCAACACAAAATGGCACGTTTAGTACTATGTATTACAGATTAGATAACCATAAAGATAAAGTGAAAATCAGGTATTTATAAACAAAAATTCAAAAGTTAAATATAGTTAAATTGATAAATGTAACGTTGAACAAACAAAAGATAACATAGGGTTAGATTTAAAGAACACTTAAGAAACATAAATTATCAATATAATGATAAATCTCTTGTGGCTTAACATTTATTGAAATGTTATCACTCCATTAAAATCATAAATTTAATTAAAAACGTTTAAGAATAAGAATAATTTATTTAATTGGAATCTTGACCAACTGTAAAATTCATTATTAAACTGGCAAAACGTGACAATCAACAAGATTACTATATGACAATAGCACTAGTTGTTAAGGTAACTTGGGAGTATAATGGAGTATTTTTAAATCAGAGTGTCAGTATTGTGGTAATGATGCTAATATTGTTTCCCAAATACGTATTTGTGGTTTTTTTGAGTTTAAATGAATATTTTTTTTTAATTATAAATTAGATTAGCAAAAAGTAATCAATTTTCATTATATTTTACCTAAGTAATTGAATTGATCTTGCTCATTTGTATACTTTTCGAGTAGCTTATTAAGGGGAAAGCCTTTTAATCGGCCACCAAACAATTCGCATTTCAAAATGACATCTTTTGCATACTCTCTTGACACGAAGCCATTATTTTTTTCGTCGCCATTACGTAATAGTTTGTAAAAAGCTTCTTCAAAAAGTATCAAAGAATTAAAGATGAACATAAGTTTTTCTGAGATATCAATCATTTCATCATCTAAGGAAAATTCAAAAAAAAATAATAATAATAATTTTTTACTTTATATTTTCAAAACTTTTTGGAATCATATATGATTCCAAAAAATATTTTTGAGAAATACTATTTATATATTTCTATCATTCGACATATATTTTTTTTTATCAGACTATATCCCTTTATACAGAGAGGGTTCAAATCTTAAAAATTTATAAAATAAAGAATTTTTTCAACTTTTTTGAAAATTTTCTAGAATTATGGACACATCTAATTTTATTGATAACTTTTCCACAAAAAAATAACTTTTTTAACTTAATTTTTGAAAATATTCCACAAATACTGGCACTTTTAAAAACATCTTAAATTATAGCTTATACAGAATGATCGAAATCTGGTAAGACACTTATTTTCTCAGAAACTATTGAGAATTTAAAATTTTTGTAAAAAGAAAAATTATTAGAATTATAAAACTCTACAATAATATAAAGTTAAATAAATTTTTTTTTTCCCTTCCGGGATAAAAATGTTTATTTATAATTTTTTTAAATGGAAACCACTATTTTTCATTTGATAATTTCATAGAAAAAAAATTATATTATTAATTAAAAATAATGACTTCCTTCTATAATACAGTAAAATGACAATAGAAATTTGGCCTAAAATCACTTAACTTTAATAATTATAAGAACAAAATTGTTTGTAATTTTTTTTTTCTATCATAATATAAAGTTAAAAATAAGGGTTCCCATTTAAGAAAATTATAAATAAGGGTTTTTATCCTTGAAGGGACAAAAAAAATTATGGTTTGACTACATATTATTCTAGAGTTTTTTGAACTTGATATTTTTTCTCTATAATAAAATTCAAAATTCTTAATATTTTTTGAGAAAATGAGTGTCTTACCAGACTTCTTTCACTTGTATAATATTTTTGAATATGAAAAAAAAAATAATTCGAACTTTAATTGGTCTTCATGGTCAAAATGGCTACTGTATTCAAATTATACTTGTGTTAAGATTCTGGAATTTTAACTTTAAATTTATACAACTTTTTTTTATAGATTTATTAAATATTTAATTATCATTTGGTATATATATTTTAGCTTCGATGCGAAACTGAGAAGGTATTGATTTTACTATGATTTTTTTTTTGCGCCTGTTACCACATTTTCTCAGCTCTCACCGAACCGATTTCTTTCAACGATACGTCAAAAAATCATAAATCATATCTAGTCGAATAAATTACCCTCGAAAATTGATAGAAATCACCTCATCCCCGTTAAATTTTTCAAAAATGATCAAATCAATATAATTCTTTTGTTTTATAAATGCATGATGTCTTTACCTATCATTTGGTATATATATTTTGTAATGTTGCAGAATTGGACTAGTTTTTTTTTAATAAATCTTATCAAGATTATCAATGAGAGGTGTGTGCAGTAGGTGTAAAGTATTTTAATAATTGTGTATGTGATAACCTCCACTAGTCAACCGGTCCGATATCTCTCATCCTATCGTCATCAGCTGACCGTACACTGTGCACCTGTGCCAATATTGTTATTTCCCCTCAATGAACGTGTTCAAAGTTGGCACCACCACCCGGCATCACGATCACCGGCCACTATATAAATGCCGCTACAACAGATTCTTTTTTTTTCCAACCAAACTACTAAGGCGACAGTCGTATTTTGTCTGTACGTTTTTTTTTATGGCGAAAACCACGTTTTGCTTTTAGTTTTTTTGTCCTCCGTTTTTTTTTTCTTAAAAATAAAACGTCGAGTCGACCTGCTGTCAACTTGTGTCAACCAGGCTGTTCAGTTTGTTTTGTCCTCCGTTTTTTTTTTGTTAAAATAAACGTCGAGATGTCTATAATGGCGTGAGGCGCGAACTATGGCCGGAGGTGAGCCGGCACTCCTTAAGAAATTAAGTATCAACATGAAAACCTCTTTTACCCCATTTTTAATTTTGTGTAACTGGCACCTCTCTTTTTCTTTTTTTTATTTTTTTTCCCTTCATGAATATATATATTAAAAATCTTGAATAATTAAATGATTAAAAAATGTTATTATATTATACATGGCCTCTTTGTTTTCTCTCTCTATACTTTTCCCTCATTTTTATTAATACTTGTTTTTGTTTTTATCAAAACCTAGTAGCTCCGTCAACAAGTACTATCTTGCTTGGCGCGGCTACTAGGTCACTGTCCAATGTTCCCCCTGGGCAGTGGGTAAATAGTAGTCCCTCTATTTGGCTGCAACCTTACAATTTTTTTAATCCAAATTTCACCTGCTCAAAGAGGGGATTCAAAATGATAACTTTTTCAACTTAACTTTTGACAATGTTTCGCAAATACTGACATTTTTATATATAATTTAAATTAAAGCTAATGTAATATAATATATTATGGAAAAAAAAAATTTCGAATTTTATTTTGTTTTATGGTGAAAATAGATATCAAAGTTAATAAAAAAAATACGATATTTGTAAAAAAATTGTTTTTTATACAGTGTTATTTATATTATTTTTTCATACAACATTAGTAGATGTGTAATATATGAGCTGGGACCCCCCTAACCCACATGTTGTGGGTTTATTCTGTCCTAGGTTNTATTTATATTATTTTTTCATACAACATTAGTAGATGTGTAATATATGAGCTGGGACCCCCCTAACCCACATGTTGTGGGTTTACTCTGTCCTAGGTGGACGGGAGGTGTAAACGGTTGGTGGGATATAGTGAAATTCATAGTCCTCCCACTCACATGATGTGGGTTTACCCTGTCCTAGGTGGACGGGCGGTGTAAACGGACGGGGGGATATGATGAACGGCATAGGGCCCCCTTCCCATGAAAGGTTCAGAGTATAATGGAGAGGGCTCTCTTATGACAGTAGATATAACAAGTATGGAGGGTTAATCTACATGTGGGGGGTACATAAGAAGGAGGGCTATGAAAAAATGAATACTTTTTAGAAATTACTTATTAAATTGTAATTAATAAGTAATTATAAGTTAAAAATGTTTAAGTGGTGAAGAAATAGGTTAGTTTATGGGGATATATGTTTTGCGATTCGCCGAGTTTATAATTGATTTTGTTACATTTAATGAATATTGTCGCATAAAAGACAGATTATTACTCGAATAAAATTAATAGTGCTGTGACAGTTAAACGTCTTTAAAATGTTTTCTTGTGACAAGTGTGAAAAAGTGTTTGCATTCAAACATGGACTGGTACGTCATCAAAAGAGTCATGATGGTATACGATTTAAGTGTTATTTATGTCCATCTACTTTTTCGGACAAATCGGCACTCTCGCGTCATGTTAAGACAATTCACCGTGAGTATTACAAATATTATTCAGTAAAATACTAATATGAAAAGAAAAAATATATTAGTAGAGTGTTAATATAAGTGTAATATTTTAGATCTCGTAAAGTATGGTGTGGATTATAATATTGCTATAGGAAATCATGCTGATTCGATAGCTATGTTAACGAGTGGTAAGTAAAGAAAATATCATACAAAAAATTTATATGCTAAAATAAATACATAAATATTTGTTTTTAGAAAATGTAAATGTTGCGGAGAGAATGCAGGCGGGCCCCAGTGCAATTAATCCTAAACGTCGCAAAAAATGTCACACTGACAATACCATTAAATGTAAACGGGTAAAGGTGAAACGATTACAAGACATTACGACGAGCGGTTTTCATAAAACAGGTGAATTCTTAAAAAGTCAAATTTTATGGGTTTACAAAAAGAATATTGAAAATGTAGCCGGGTATCAATCGTTTTTGTCGGCAACAAGAGGCGATTTAGTTGAAAAATTACGCGACTGTCTTAAAGAAATGGACCCGATAAAATTCAACCTTAAACTTGAGGCGACTTATGCGGTTCCGAATAATGAAAACAAGTACGAAAATCGGTCTTTTAAAACGTCGGCAGCCGAGTTAATTAACGAGGACGATATCGATCATGCTGTAGATATTTCATACACAAAATTATTAGAAGAACTATTATAATTATATTATTATTATTATTAGAATTATTATTATGCTGGTAAAGGTAGTAATTTCTCGTTTTCTAATATAAACGGTATTTTACTGGGTGTTTACAAATATCAGCCTTTAGGCGGGAGTTCTTACATTGATTTGCCGCATGACATTAAAATGAAAAAAGCTGTAATAAACCCACAAAATATAGATCAACAATGTTTCAAATGGCCTATATTANCCCGCAAAATATAGATCAACAATGTTTCAAATGGGCTATATTAGCGAAAAAAGTTACGGAGGGTAAAAGACATATAGTAGAACAAAACTATAAGTCTATAGAAAACTCTTATAATTTCTCCGGTTTATCATTCCCAACACCGATTTCAGACATAAAAATTTTCGGAAAAAATAATCCGCATACTTCAGTCAATGTTTACGGACTAAAATTGAAAGATTTACATAATAAACCCGAATATTTAGTTTATCCGCTGAAAGTGTGCGTTGACGAATGTAAAGACCATATCGATTTATTAATTGTGTCAAACGCCGCGGGTGATAGTCATTACACTTATATCACTGATTTTAGAAAACTGGTTCAATCACAGATGACAAAGAGTACGGAAAAAATGATATTTTGCAAACGGTGTTTCACGGGCTTTAATAATATACCTAAAAAGTATAAACTACATGGAGTTGAGGCGCTAGAAGAACATAAAAAAATTTGTGTCGAAAACAAACCGTTTTTACCTGTAATGCCTAAAGAAGGCACTAAATTAAAGTTCGAGTCATGGGGCAAAATACAGGAACATCCATTTGCAATTTATGCTGATTTTGAAAGCCTGTTGGTCAAGTCCACCAATGATCCGAAAGGCAACACAAATTTTGTTCATGAACATGTTGCAATGAGCTATGGATACATAGTACCCACAGAATTATTGCAACACTTTAATGTACAAACGACGCCTAAAATATATAGAGGAAATAGAAGCAGCGAGCCTGGGCTAGTAGTCAATCGTTTCATGGATGACG